GCACTGTTATTTTTAAACTTTTAACGTAAATGTAACTTGTAATCTCGTGTAATTCAGCCTTTTGGCTGCGACTAAAAGAATAATAAAGAATAAAAAGGGGAAAAAAAAGAAAGAAAGAGACGATAATTGTCTTTTATACATTTTATAAGGGATGATCAGTGTCTTAGATGTATTTTTTGCTTCTAAAATTATAATAAAGGCACGCTCCACTCGAATCGTGTATGGGTAATTCAGATATTTGATGGGCAGAGATACCAGTATCTTGCTATAAGGTAAGATGTATTATGCTGTACAGAGATCTTTCGTTAAATTTATGCAGTTAATTTCAGGGGCGGATCCAGAGATGTCCGAAAAAGGGGGAGGGGCGGGACCGAAAGTGGGGCCGATCGACATAACACTACCCTAGGTGGTCCGAGGGCATGGCCCGCGAACTTTTTGTGTTCCAGATGACCGAAAATAATAATCTCTGAGGCGTTTGGGGCGATCAATTTTTTTCCTTTTCTTTCTGTCTTTTTTTTTTCTTTTTTACATTCCAAAAATGGGGGGGGGGCGGGGGTGTCGGAGCCGGCCCGCATTGCATTTCAACAATTTTCAGGCATCTTTTTGACTTATGAAATCACATTGCCGTGAGGGGGACCAGACCCCCTTAAAATATGTGGGGGAGGAGGACGAATCAGAACCTGACTGAGGCGAGGGTGCATACGTTTGTTTTTAGGATATGACTGGTTTTTCATGCCCATTTTTCGTGATTATGAATATTTTGGAAAATGAATGTTTTGAGCAGTGGCGTATTGAAGGCCTCCACCCCCTAATTTTATTTAATGGAAAAAAGAAAATTAAATTCAAATTCAAGTCTGAGAGTGTAATTTCCGGCCATCTAGAGTGCCCTAATCATAAGTTTTCTTACCTCAGTCCAACCATGGTGAAGCTGGGGTGGGTGGACCCTCAGTCTGTGAAAATACCTCCCTGGGTCACCTCTCTTTCGAATTCCGCTACTGTTGAGTTATTATAAAACTGAGCCCATTGTATACTAGGCTTAATATTAATTATGATGCGGCTATTGCAATTTTTACTTTATCAGTTATCTTCTCTAAACAGTCCTAAAAACGTTCAGTGCGCTACCTCCCAGGGGGATTGACACCCCCTTTCCCCAACAGGGTCCTTTGCGTCCCCCAGCCGTAGGGAGGGGAAACCCCACTCCCACTCGGTACGCGTACTTCGCATAACGGCCCTCCCCTTTCAAAATCCTGGCTACGTCCCCAGGCCTGTCTCCATCTGCTATGTATCTTTGGTATCCAAGGTCAATACATATTATACACATAACTAGAGTACCGTATTGCTACTGTCAGCATTCGATTTTCGCATACTCAAAAAAAGATGGAACAAACATTAAGAGATCTGGTATTTTCTGCCAGTAATCAGGTCATCAGAAACTTGCGGACAAGGGGTCCGACATGTCCGACGGAGGGGTTTAATATTCTACGACGCTACTGCACCCCAGACGCAAACCATCGTGTCTGCGTTTATCATTGGTTTAACTCACACAGACCCGACGCGACAACAAATGGCGTCGAGCTGCGTCGTACGACGCTGTCTGAGTTAGCATACTGATTATACACATGGCTATAGCATTGACTCTATACAAAGTGGCATATTCCTTTACAAAGACAAAAGTAAACACAAGATGCTATACATAAACTCATATTATGAGGCTAAGGAAGGGGGTGGAGTTGTTTTGTTCTTGAGAACAAAATCAGAGCTTAATTTAGTGTGACTACAAAAACATCAGAAAACAATTGAGCATTATTGATTTACTACTATGTAACACTCATTTTTATATAGGTGAAATAAATTATATTTTGAAGTAAATTTTAGAAATTGTGTTTCATGTGGTAATATGCAGTCTGCCGGCTTATTGTAAAAAATCATTTTCCTGCTCTGTAAGCAAAAATCATTTTCGCTATGAGTGTCGCGTCATGGTAATAACATTGATGATGACGACAACAATAATGATAAAGGTAATAGTAGTATATAATAGTAAACTAAAATAACAACAACAACAATACTACCTTCTCACGAAAAACAAAAAGCATCTCCCTTCCATGACAATAAGTTTATGTACAGCATTTTATCTGTACGTTTTGCCTTGAAGGAATTCCACCTACGAGAGAGCCATGTTTCAGTTCGATATGCCATTCTTGGCCCATATGCCTAAATATTGAATAAATAAATGTCATTATGTTATAAGCCTATATTATTAATAATGACAACAATAGTAGTGTACTAAGAGCTGCTTCTGTATTAATATTTTCTACCATAAAGACTATAAAATGTGTTTGTTCATTTTAGTAGGCCTAACATATGTGAGTTTTTATATGCAGTTTACAAAAGTTGAAATAGATTAAAATGACAATGGTTTAAAAAGGATGTGGTATATGGAGAAGGCAAAAATTATTAAAGAAATACTAGACATTAAATGAAGAATTAACAAAATAATGTCAACTTAATCTAGTTGTTTATATGTCTCAAACTGGTAATCAATATTTACAAACATAATTTGAAATGTATCACGCCACTGTGATTGAATGCTTTCTCTTCGTAAGCCTTTTGGCTTTCTTGATAATATTTTCTGTATAAAATGATGCCAGTTGACAAAATTCGTATTTGGCACAAACCAATTTTATAAGCCACTAAAATCTAAAATTCGATTATCAGTTTGAAAAACTGGAGTAGGAAAAAACTTAATCTATGCTATGTTCATGTTTACAATCCACGGCTTAAAATGAACGAAACTCTTTATAATCGAACAAGAATGTAAGTCAGTGGATATGGGAGGGTGAGGTTAGTACTGTATAACACTAAATAGTTTTTAATCCCTAAAATTTGACAACTTAGTAAAGGCATGCTTGCATTGTACTTTCGGTGCTTGAGATTTGATTTCCCCAATGACTTTGCTGGAAATTCCTCGACAGTTGTCCAAGCGGGGGTCCATGAATCCCCAATGGGGGGGGGTGGACACCGCTAGCACCGCCCTGAAGATGCTCAACTCAGTCTCAATATAAGGCTTTATGAAGTGGAGTGGTTTTGGTCTTGAGAAAAAAAATCAGAGCTTAATTGTGACTTCATCTCAGCTGCTACAGAAAGAACAGAAAAAAATTGCTCATTATATTGATTTACCAAAGTGTGATGCCTCAAAACGGAAAGGTGGGATTGAGGCAGCTTGTTTATGGGTGGTTAAATGGTACATCAAATGTATATTGTGAAAAACATTTGCACTTTGTAAAAGTTCAAAACAGATTATACGACAATGATTAAAAAAGGATTTGGTATAGGGAAAAATGGGGTAATTATCAAAGAAATGCCAGACATTAAATGGAGAATTATCAAAATAATGTAAACTTAATCTAGTTGTATATATGGCTGGAACTGGTAATCAATGTGTACAAGCTTTCTTGATATGCTCTGTATAAAAAGACGACTATTGACAAAATTCGTATTGGCACAAACCCACTAAAATAATGTCTACAACAATTCGATTATCCGTTCGAAAAACTGGAGTAGGAAAAAATAATTCCAACCTATCTATGCTATGTTCATGTTTACAAAAACACTTTTCCAAAGTAATCCTCTGGTAGGCCTAAAATGAACTAATCTCTATATAATCGAACATAGGAATGTAAGTCGGGATATATACTTTAGATTTGAAGCTTGATGTCGTGACGATCAGTGCGGAAATGAATATTAAACATTGTTATGAATGGTTTGAGGAAATGTATATTATATGAATTTAAAGTTAATCTCCTGTGTTTCAATTTATTTGGTCATGGTAATGGCGATGTACTTATAAATTGCATAATACGAAATCTTCTTTATGTGCTAAGAAACCACAGCTCAAGTGCACAAAAAGAGGAAGAATTAAAAACAAAAAACAAAAGAAAAGGAATCAAGTTCAGAATTGAAATAAAGAGAAAATATGGGATTTGAGCCGAGACTTAAATGGAGTCAAAGATGAAGAGTCACGCACAGTTTCGGTAGTGGTTCCAATGCTTCGGAGCAGCAACAATATAAACAAGAACGATCTACACGTTCTAAGGTGACCAATAGGACAGTTAAAAATGGTAGATGGAGATGAGATAGACTAATTATGTACTGTGGGCGCAAACAGCAAAACGTAGTGAAATTAGATTGGAGATGTAGTGAAGGGATGATTTTGCATATTATTGATTTTGATAAGCTTTCTTATTAGAGATATCTCTATAGACATATCTGATTAAAATTAAGATATAATAAAATTAAATAGAGCTTCCTCTATTGAATGGCAATTCGACTCGCCATATAATACTGATTGATAGCTGCAGCATCATGGGTGATTCTTTTATTAATAATAATATATTATTTTGTACATTGTACATTCAACACTATTCAACTTCGCTCTATTACGGTCTATGCTCTTTATGAGCTTTAATAGATCACGGAGGAATAGGCCTAATATATTTTTTATTCCTCCATGAATATATTTATGATTGAAGGTCGCATATATTTTTATTATGAAAGAAAGCAATAAGCCTAGCTGAGTTTAACACACATAATTTGATCTTCTATTATTTATCACACAATTTATTTTTATAAGCTTTTTAGTTAAAAAACAAACACGTATTTATAACGTAAGTTCTGATAAAATAATGTTGAAACCGTTTGTTTCAACACTAATGTTTTAATGTTTTAGGGTTCAATGGGCCCATCCGGATCCGTAATGGACGCCAAATACGCGGTAAACAAGGGGATATATTTTAAAGAAAAGTTGTATTGCATGATAATCCCATAATTCCATAAACTAATAATTGTGTTATGGTATGTGTTAGTGTCTAGTCACGTTTGAAAAAGATCCTTAAGAGCTACATTATTGTCATTCAGAATTAAAGATTTAACGATAAGACATATTGAAATGTAGGATAATTACTCAATTGTATAACATCAGTATAAATAACGAGGAGAACATGGTTTTGTGTCAGTTGTTCGAGCGCAAGACGGAGGCAGTAACTCGAAGTCGATTATCACCCCAAATCCTGTCAAACAGCTCTTCCAGACATTGGTAGGTTATTGGTTTACTATTATTCAATGATAGGCTTCTTTTATCTATACTTGCCAGCAATGCCGTAGCCATGATTTTCAAACAGTGTGGGACAATAAGATTATAAGGGTGGATCCACTTTATGCGTAAATTCAAATAATGTGCACCCATTTTTTTAAAATCTTATACCCATTTTACGACTCATTTTCTTAAAAGGTGACCCATTTTTTGCAAAATATGAGAAATCTGGACCCATTTTTTAAAAAGTGGACCCATTTTTTGTTGAGCACCCAGTATAAAATTTGTGTTGACTGTCCCAAGTGTCCAAATAGGTGGCTAAGGCATTGCTTGCTAGATTAGATTTTACGTCCGGGGTCCACCCGCTAGTTATAAGCACTATTTATTAGGTCCACTGTTCATAAGGTCATAGGACCGTTACTATGGTTCGGTAGTAATGTGAAGCGAATAAAGCCAGGCTCCGGAGGGGATGAAAAAATGACATGTTGCACATCTGGTTTCTCTGAAGCTCTTGTCACACGGTTAAATAAGTACCCTCGAAATGATTTCGAGGATTTTGTTCCCTCGAAATATTATTTCGTTTCCTCGAAATAGGCCTAGTTTAATATTTTTTCTAACCAATTAAGGGCTCCGCTTGATAGTCTCCAGTCACACTATTAAATTGTGTTATAAATAAGTTGTCAACTCATAGGAATTGAGTTTTAGGGACAATCTAATTAAGAGTCTATCGATACAGGATCTATTCCTATGCAGGTTCCTACCATTACGCAAAGGTCTATACTTTCTGCCATGTAATTGGCTGATGATATTCAGATGTCATCAAATATTTAAAGAAAATAGAACATATTCTATTCCTTTCCCATCACGTTGGATACTCAAGGGAACGATAGGTTAAAACAAGGGTCGCAGTAAAATCACAGACTCAAACCACGTACACCCCATTAATCTGTTTTGCCCTGGGTAGATAGGCCTATTTGAAAACAAAAACTGGCCATGTGACACAAAAAGCATATTTGACAAAAAGCTCATGAGAACGGTTAATGAGAAACAGATTTTTGAATATTTAAAAACCGGCGTACGATTAAATGTTATTATATTTTTTATAATTTCCTCTATCAAGGCCTATGATTTATCTGAGGCTCTATAGATCCTGCAGGAATAATAATTTAATAATAAAATAACATTGCAACCGGTGCTGCAACTTTGTGTATTTCTGACAACCTAACCGCAACGTTTACAACGCAAATGTTTCAATAATGTTTTATGTGTGCTGCGATCGATGGGCCCATCGAGGTCCGTAAAACATAGTAAAAAAGAGTATAACCTATATAGAAGAGTTTCATTAGATGACAATCCCATAAACAAAACTAATATTTGTGTTGTTTATGAGGTGCTTATAAAAAAAACCTTTGCTAATTTGCCTAGTCACATTTTGAAAGGCTCCCCACTCTTAAGAGCTACCGTACGTGATTATTCAGAAATATTCATAACAAACATTTTCAATTACAAACAAAGATTTAACGATTTAACATAGGCCTAATTCCTCAATTGAACATTAGTATTAGTATAAGGAGAATAATATGATTTTGTTTCAGACTTAGGTTGCGAGTGCAAGAAGGCTGTAACTCGAAGTCGATTATCATTCGAAAGACATATTTTGTTCAACGGCAGTTCTTCAAGACAACTATAGGTAGGTTATTGGCTTATTTTAATTATTGATATAGGATTATTTTATTACTTCAATTGTCTTTATTTATATATGCAAAATGCAAAATACTGAAAAACAACAATGCTGTGGGAAACATTGGCTGGATCTCGGTAGAGATAAAAGTTTTACTAAGCAACAGCTAAAAAGTAAACGTACCGTAAGTAAACAGCCAGAAATAGAACTAGAGCTTTCGGACAGCACTAGTCCTCCTTCCTTTGTGGCGAGCGAGTGATGGTAGAAAAAGCCAGATGAGTGAGTGCGAAGTCATGCAAGCATGTCGGATTAGTAACAAATATTATAATACTTAGTATTAACAATTTATCAGTATCATGTTTTATTTATTTTATTATGTTATAACATAAAAGATAGGCCTAGTTGTTTTCTGCTAACTTACGTGTGGCACATCTTTACACCTTGCAGAGGTTTGCCAAGTCATTAAAACCAAACAGAATGATCTTTATTTATTTGAGAACTCGAATGATCCTTTTTTGAGTCATCTGTTGACTTAAGACGACATTTTGAAAGACATCTCTAATTCTGTTACTGTGTCTTATTTGCTATAACACTCCCTCACTCTAATTATTGCATATCAGTGTAGTTTACATACAAAACATTGGACACTCAATAATCTTAACTTAACGAAGATTTACCCTAAAATATTATTTTTATGCCTTAATTTCCTTTAAAAATGTTTGTGTTTTATGCGCTGAGTCTACTAGCAAATGGCAAAACATACATGTATGCCTCAGAGTGAGCCAAAGGCAAATCATTACAGTTTCTCTACTTTCTTCTTATTTATATTAGAATACAATGAAGACTTACTTAGTACTGTGTCTCTGCTTGTCGGCACTGGCGTATGTAGGATTTTGTGAGGTAGGTAAACTAAACAGAGGTGGCGTATATTTTGGAGGTTTGATTTGGGGACTGGAAATTTGCCGAGGAAAATAAATTACGCTAAAAATCACCTCATAGTACCTAATTTTTGCTATAACACTCCCTCACTTAATCAGATTTTTCCAATCATTAAACTTTCGCTTCCCCAATCATCCCCCTCCTCACAAACTCCACCTTGGCCCTCTGCACTTTTCCACTTAACTTTTGCACTGCGACATTTGTGGTTTAATGTGATCCATACACGACTGAAAGCCAAACTGCTCTTATTCAGGTAAAAAAAAATGAAAAATATGAAAATTGTTATTCCACTCTTCTCATCCATGATCCAACAAATTTAAACTTGTTACCAAGGTTAAAATAAGCTAAAACTGCGTTTTAATGTTGTGATTTTAAAAAAATATCCCTGCTCTGGATTACCCCATTTTGGGTAATACCACCTACAGCATCATAATTATCCCCATCATCATCGTCATACCAATTTGAGAATTGAATTTTTACCACAACAAATATATATTATGTAACATAGACATTGTAAGATAGATCAACATCGGGTCGTAATTACAACGTGATGTATGCATTGTATGTTGTTTTAATGTGAATTATTGGGAAAAGCATGTGTTTTACAAAAGGCTTGAGATTTTAGAGGGCTAAAGTGAGAGTTGGAGCTTGGGTCTGAAGGCATAAATGTTACGCCAGATGCATGAGATTTGGTCGTGGTCGCCATCAGATCCCCATCACTCATCATCATCACCGTCACTGGACAACAGCATCCCCATCACCCGCCCCATCATCAAAATCATCATAATAAAGATTATTATTCCTTATAAGGTTTTTGGGCATGTAATGTCTTAATAACTATCATTTTTGAATGATTTCAGACGCAAGTTTGCACAACTGGAAGTGGGACTGAAATCCAGCAGACAACAAGCTGGTTTGCTAATGAACAATCGATCTTGGTTGAGCAATTGTTGGATGGAATACCAGTGGTACCCCTTGTTAAGGTTGTGCATGACTACAACAATGTAAGTAAAACAAACCAGCATGTTTTAGTCTTTTACCATTTTACCATAGGCATTATAAATTTGCTTATTCTTCAAATAAGCAAATGTTTTCGGTTATTATGTATAAATTACATTTTTTATATTTGTGAATTGGTGACATTTTACAGTAGTGGGTAAATTGTTACCTGTTGCCAAACTACTAGTCAATTTTGGCCCTTTTTAACATGGGCATTTTTTCATAATTACAGAAGTCAATTTGCCTACATTTAATTGTCACGTGGCATTTCAATCACATGGATAAGGCTATTTATTTATATTGTATTATTCTCTGTAGGACCGGACATATTTTCGTCGTTTCAGTACCAGTGAGTGTTTCGCAACAACAACACACTTAGATCTAAATCCAGTAAGTAAGATTGATTGATTGTTGTTTTCTAAGATTGATTGCTGTTTTTTCTACCGAAACTAATACCGTAAAATGACCTAAGGCTAAACAAAAATTGTTTGTTTACCCTCCTCCACCCGCCCTAACTCACTGAAATAAAGAGGGGCGGAAAAACAAAATAATTATAGATTTTTCGAATAAAATTTGTAATCATTACCATTATTTTTACTGTGTTGGTTATTGATGGCATTAGGCCTAATCCTGTATTAACATTCTAAAAGTTTTTCAATATGCCTCTCGTACTTTCAACAGCCCAGCTGAAAAGGCCTCTGCCACTGTCGTTATGGACATAGGAAATTCATAAGGAAGAGCCTTAAAGGCAATAATATCAATCCACTCGCTCAGAGAATCCCGTTAGAAAAATCGAAGGAAATAGAAAAACCTTTAAAGTTTACAAATGCTGCATCGACTCCAAATTTGGGCCCAGTAGAGTAACAGCTATTAGCTGTCACTAGCCAGGAGTTCCATACCATTTTACCCCTTACGGTGGCCAACTCTGGGGCCTTTTGGCTATAACGTGTAGAAACAATGAAAATACTTCAACGTCAGCGGGTGGGCTTCCTCAAGGAGGATCCCAAATAAGCCTTAGCCAGGGCCTCAGACCTTTTTGTTGCAGCCCCTACCCCTGACAGACTCATCATTTTGGCAGTGTTAGTACACATCAGTGTGGGCCAGTATATGCTCCCCAATTTTTCTGACAAAATTTAAAATTTCCTTACTGAAATAGATTTTTTAAAACTATTTTTAGGGATACATTTATGAAATCGATGTCACCGATGATTCAATTAGCCCACCACCTACTTCTGCGGCTTACAGTATGTGTATGGATCTAACCATTCCTGTTGCTGGTACAGTTGAGCTACCGATAAGCGGTGATGCACCTTCCGGTGCACCATATTATTATTTTTGTGACGATTACGTATTTCACTTCATCTAGAACTCTGATGGGTGATGTGCCGAATTGCCATCTTAACTAATAATCAGATATTGATGATAAGCATGAAGTAATAATATTATATCTCTAAGAATATTCATGAAATGTTAAAATGAATAATACACAGATTTGCAACAACATAGAACTCTGCAGATAAAAAGGAATTTGTCTAGCAAACAACATGTTTTTAAAGTTTAAAGTTATAAACTGTATTATGTATACATATATATATATATATATATATATATATATACACATATATATACATATATATAGTATAATTTTCATTATAATATTGCTTAGTATAATTTTAATTAATTTTTTTCATAGCTGCTTCCTCTTCTTGTTTTTAGTTATACCTTATGTTTAGCTAATACATTACCCATGGATGAATTAATTCCACCATGCATTAACTATAGTAATGCTTTCCCACAGTCCATCACTTGGTCATTCATTGTTCACCCTTATCACTGTTTATTTGTACATATACCAATAATCCTTTAGAGTATGCCGACTTGCTTTTGACTTAAATACTGTATTGTTTTTCACAAATTTTGACTTAACTACTGTATTGTTTCTCAATATTTATATATGTATACTGTAGGCCTATATATCAATTATTAGATATCAACATCTTACCAATGCACGTATCATTGTTATCCTTTACATAGCCGTCATAACATATACATATGTATGATCCAATGGTGTCTTTACATTCAGCATTCTCATCGCACACATCTAAATCTTCACATTCGTTAGAATTCGTACAAATCGTCCCATTGCCATAAAACCCTTCGTTACAATGACAAATAAACGATCCTTCTGTGTTACTGCATGTCGCATTTTCGTTACAGGGAAATTTGTCGCATTCATTAATATCTGCAAAGTAATTGAAATGTTGCTTACTTATGAGTTCTCAAGAAGGCGCCTGCTATTGGTACAGCAATTTTTTGGGGTACTTCTAGTATACTTGTGCACATGGCATGTCCATGTCGTTGTGCGGGACAGCTTCAAATTAGATTACGACGACAAGAAAATGATGTAGGTACAACAGTCCCCACATTTACATGTGTAGCAGACGATGAGTGACAGTTATTATCATTATCTCCATTTATTGTATCTCCGGCTACCGTTCATTTTATTTTTTTCATTTTTTGTTGTTTTTTTTTATTTCCTTGTTTACCATTTATTAGTTTTGCCACTCTGACCAGCTATTTATTTATGCCAATTTGCTTATGTCAGACTTAAGGCCTCCTTATAAACTATTGCTAGTGATAAGACCGTGTAACCTATTGTTTATAGATCTGGTGATTAGTCACCCATTTTATATTCTTATGTATTCTGTTAAGTTTCTCATAGATACTCAAGCGCTGACGAAGGTAACAGGAGTTGCCGAAAATTTCGTCTCCTACTAGTCAAAGTATCGTAGCAGTTTATTTTGTCTGCGTCTACCTATTGATATATATATATAGAAAG